GTTTCTGTTTCTATACTGAAAAATAAAATAACATCACACATGAAATTAAGTGAGATAATGTCTTTAAAATGCCATGTTGGTGTTAGGTGCCATCAAGTTGGCCCTGTATAGGGTTTCTGAGGAGCAGCGGGTGAGTTTGAACTGCCAACCTTGCGGTTCAAACCAACTTTGAGGTTCAGTGCATTATCCTACAGTGCCACACCAGGAGTCTTCAGTATGATTTCTTTTTTATTGAAAGATAGGCTCTTAGTGGTCTGCTGTTAACTTTCCATTGAGACAGTATGGCACAATTTTAGCAGATTGTTCCCTGCCCTCTTCTCCACCCTCTCAAATTTGTGCTAGAAGTGTCAGGAATAAAATATATCCTGGATGTATTGCACTAAATATGAGGCATACACAAGTAGTAAACTTAGCGCCAGCTCCCACAGACAGTGTTAGTTTACCTATGAGGTGATGCAGTGTGCAGCAGGTAAGAATGCGGACTCTGGAGTTGACTGCCACTGTGTGTCCCGGACACGTCATTCAACCCCTCTGAGTCAATCCCCTTCACCATCTGGTGGGAATTTCATTATAATAAAGGAGCTCCATTATCTTAAGGGTGGAGCTCTACCTTGTGCATTTGAAGATAGGGTTCATCCAATATGGGCTATTATTATAAACATTATTTAAAATCTTACATCATTATGGCAATTGTATACCTTCCCATTTTTTAGCATTCAGTTGTTGTTTTTTGTTGTTAAGTGCCATTGAGTTGATTCTGACCCATAGCGACCCTGTATAGGGTTTCCAGGGAGTAACTGATGAGCTTAAACCACCGACCTAGCAGTTCAAACAACTTTGCAGTCTGACGCATTAGTCCACAGTACCACAGTATTTAGTAGGATCAAGATTTTCTGTCTTCTCAAACTCATTCATTATTTCCTTTCTCAAGGGAACAAAATAATGCCTTTTCAGATGGTCTTTTGAAAGAAAACAGGGTTGGGAAAAGGAAACATCCAAATGAAAGTGTAGAAGACAAAGGGGTGGAAGAGGAAGGTATTAAGTGAGAAAAGACACCACCCACTCATTGCAGAGTTGTTGTTGTTTAGTGCCGTCAAGTCGGTTCCGACCCATAGCGACCCTGTACAGGGTTTCTGAGGGTGTAAATCCTTACGGGAGTAGAAAACCTCATCTTTCTCCCGCGGAGCGGCTGGTAGTTTCGAACCACTGACCTTAAGGTTCACAGCCCGATTCGTAACCACTACGCTACCAGAGCTCCTTAGACAGGAGGTTCTTCCTTGCTAATTCATGCAGTAGTATTTATCGCCTGAGTGATAAAGAGATTCTCCTGTCTTGGAACCGCTTTGTTTCTTTGTTGCTGTTATCTACCCTGGATGGAGTTGGTTCCGACTCATAGCGATCCTGTACAGGGTTTCCGAGGCTGTAAATCTTAAGGGAGTAGAAAGCCTCCTCTTTCTCCCGTAGAACAGCTGGTAGTTTCGAACTGCTGACCTTGCGGTTCGCAGCTTGATTTGTAACCATTACGCTACCAGAGCTTCTTCTTTGTTTCTTTAGGTTCTAGGAAAGAGGAACCAGGGAATTGTATGTTGTCCAAAGCTAAACCAAACACATTGCCATCAAGTTGATCCCGATTCACGGTGACCTTATGTGTCAGAGTAGAACTGCTCCATAGGGTTCTCAATGTCAAATTTTGTGAAATAGATTGCCATCACTTTCTTGCAAGGTGCCTCTGAGTGGATTTGAACCACCAACCTTTCAGTTAACAGTCAAGCATGTTTACACCACTCAGAAAGTCTGTATAAATTTAGGCACGCCATTTAACTCTGCTTCCTCTTCCATGAAGGATAGTCTTAGATAATCTTTGTGACCTCTGAGAATGGCTGTAAGGAGCACTTGGAATAAGGCCTAACATTTAATAAGTAAACTGTTGTTGTTATGTGCCATCGAGTCGTTTCCAACCCATAGCGACCCTGTATAGGGTTTCTGAGGGTGTAAATCTTTATGGGAGTAGAAAGCCTCATCTTTCTCCCGCGGTGCAGCTGGTAGTTTCGAACCGCTGACCTTAAGGTTCGCAGCCCGATTCGTAACCACTATGCTACCAGAGCTCCTTATTATTGTTGGTGGTGAGTTTGTGAAAGGAAGGGCCACCAACCAGGGCCTTGAAAACATAGAAATGATACAGGCAACTGCGGGGCAACAAAATAGCCTCACTTTTTTCCTTATTGGAAAAATAGGCTTATATTTTCATTGATGGAGAATTATGATGAGCAACTTTTGTATGGTTAGGTACGGTTGCGTCGATTCTAACTCACATTCCAGGTAGAAATGCCTCATTGGATTTTCTTGGCTATAATCTTTATGGGGGCTGATCGCCAAGTTTATTCGTAGAAGAAGTGCACTGGGTGACTTTGAACCACTAGCCTTTTAGTTAGCAGCCAAGTACCTAACCGCTTGTGATGAGAACAAAGTTTATAGTTACACCTACTGTGTATCTAAGAATCCATTTTTATTGATTAAGGGAAATAATTGGCTATCTGCAAAATTAGGCAACCTATATGTTTCCCCAAATCCGCACATTTACTTTGGTGGGATTACTGATTTTACTTAAACTGATGCCATTTATCCTGACATGGTGCTATAGGATAAGCAATGAACTACTAACCATGAGGTCAGAGGTTTAATCCACCATTTGCTCCTTGGAGACCTTATACAAGGTTACTATCAGTTGGAACGAATCCATGGCACTTAACAACAACAATAACAATTATAAATAAACATCACCATGAGTTTAGAAGACCTTTATAGATTTATATGCACCTGACTCTAGGATCTAAATAAAAAGACCTTTGTTTTCATTTTCAGTCTTTGAATTTTTAGACGGACTTCTATTCACTTAGTAAAGGTAACAAGTATATATTTACTCACAGGAAAAGTAGGTGAAAATTAGGAGAAGGAAATTGATGGCTTTATAGATAGTTTCATTATATTTTATAATTACATATAGAGCCTTTGATTTTGTTGTAGCATTTAAAATTTTGGGATCAAATGTGAGATGTGATTCCCCCAGCTGTGCCATCTAAAGTTTAAAAAAAAAGTAAGGATGTTTCAAATGCTTTTCTGCGTTCATATAAAAATAGTGATAAAAATAAAACAAAACAAATTGTCTCCAAGTAATTAACAACTGAGTCAAAATGTTATTGTTCTTCAAGGATCCTGACTTGATCATGTGCCACCACTTGGACAGCAGAGCACGTTGTACAAAAGTTTAACATGCATGGACAAGTGCAACAGGAATGACCAGTCTTCCTCTGTTAAATTCAGCTGTTACAATAAGTTCAAGATTTTTAAGATTGAGCCTAAGAGAATTCTAAATATGTTTCTTTTTTCCATCTCTTATCACTAGGTCAACCAGTTTTATGAGCTCACTTTGCACACAGCTTCCTTGATTTTTTTTTTTTTTTTTTTGGTAATTTACAAATCTTTACATTTAATCTTTGTGTCAAATGAGGGGAAGAAATGAGTTAACTTGGTAAACACAAGCCCTTTCTTCATTGCCTCATTCTTTTGAATTTATTTGTTTTATAATTCTCTCCATAAAGAGTATGTTATTGGAGAAAAAAGAAACAAGTATATTACTAACAGCACAGTACAAAGCACATGTAGGTTTGGGTTCATTTGGAATTGCGTTCCCCACTCTTAAGCCCTGGTGGTGGACTGCTAACCACAAACCAGGTCAGCCATGCAAACCCGCCAGCTGCTCCTCAGGAGAACGATGAGGTTGTCTGCCGCAGAAAAGGCTTACAGTCTCAGAAACCCTATAGAATGTTGCAGTGAATTGACTTAGTGGCAGTGGGATTGGTTTTGGTTGCTTTCTCCACTCTTACTTTATTTAAGTGTCGGTGACATTTGTGTCTCATGTCACCAAGACTCCAAAAATTGTGGCACTTATTTGTGCAAAGGCTCCCTGGCTTACTGTAAGGGTGAAGAATTTCACTCTTAGTACTGTTGGTGGTGGTATTAAAGTGCTGTGGAGTCGCTTCTAACTCCTAACGACTCTAGACTCTAACTCCTCTTTCTCCCGCGGAACAGCTGGTAGTGTGGAACTGCTGACCTTGCGGTTTGCAGCGTGATTCGTAACCACCACACTGCCAGAGCCCCTTCTTTGTTTCTTTAGGTTCTGGGAAAGAGGAACCAGGGAATTGTATGGATAGTGTTCCAGAGGAGTGGCTGGTGAGTTTGAACCACTGACCTTGAGGTCCAGCACATTATCCTGCCCCACCACACCAGGACTCTGGCCTTACTACTAGGCAGAGTGAAAGTCAGCAGTAGGACAGGGTGAAAGCCATGATGTGGGCCTTACTGATGACTACATGTACTATCAGGCTGTGGGTTTGAATTCTGTTGACATAAAGAGAAATACAGGGACTGAGGAGTTTCCGGTAGACTTCCACAGGACTTTCCAGAGACCCTTGAACCCATCACCTCTTCACCAGTGTATGCTCTTTGCTCTTTTTCTTGCCTTCTATATCAAGGCACAAGCAGGACAGAATAAAGTAAATTCTTCTTATCATTTATTGGTGGCTTTGGGAAAGGTTTTTATGGAATTTACAACCTGTACTACTCTGGTAGTGTAGTGGTTAAGAATCGGGTTGCGAGCCTCAAGGTTAGCAGTTCGAAACTACCAGCCATTCCATGGGAGAAAGATGAGGCTTTCTGCTCCCGTAAAGATTTTTACAGCCTTAGAAACCCGGTGCAGAGTCATTATGAGTCAGAACCGACTCCACGGCACATAACCACAACACTGCTGGCTGTCACTGCATGTGGGGAAGTGACTTTTGGGGCCTCAGACTCCTTGTCAGCAGGCAGATCCTTCTACTTTAGCTTTGCAACCTGTTTTCAAAATGGTACCTTTTGGGTTCATCTGTTTTCCAACCCCGGTTTTGCTTTTTGTCACATGTAGATCCTCTTATGCTTCTTGGTGTTCCCTTCTCTCCCTGCAGTCGTCGGTGTGTGCTAAGATTGTGCAGCTCCTGGGACAGAATGAGGTTGACTCTCACCAGAAGCAGGTGGTCATCCTGAGCCAGGATAGCTTCTACCGTGTCCTTACTCCAGAGCAGAAGGCCAAAGCCCTGAAGGGCCAGTTCAACTTTGATCACCCGGGTGAGTGGGGGGAGCCTGAAAGGGGGGTGGGTGGATGGTGGTGGTGGTACATGTGTGTGGGTTGGGGATAACTTTTATCTGTTCATAAGGAAGTCTCTTAACTCCTTTTTAGACTGTTTTTATTTAAAATGGATGACTTTAATGATTTCACAGGTCTTTATGAGGCTCATATGAAAGAATTATATACTTGACTCTTTTGATATTGAATGACTTTGTATCTGAACGAAGGTGACAGTGTATGACCGTTTCAGCCATGGTGGGCCATGACACAGGATAGAACATAAGACTGCTTCTTCTACACCTGCTGTCTGTCTGAAGCAGCCTGTGTCAAGCCCCCGCATGCATATTTCATTCACTGACTAGAGGAAAGGGTGATGGGAGGACCCATGATGGCTATGATGATGCTTACTCTGATAGTCCTAGAATAGAACACAGCTCCTGAAGCTTGTTTTTGGTTTGGGTTTCTTAAAATTATGGGATCATTACTTCTTAGCATGGCACTTAGGGTATGCCCCTAGTCATGAGGAGTCCTGGTGTGGTGCTGTAGGATCAGTACTGGACTGCTAACCTCAAGGTCAGTGGTTGAAATCTACCAGCTGCTTCTCAGAAACCCTATACAGGGTCACTGTGAGTTAGAACCGACTCATATATATAACAACAGTCATGAGGAGGGAGTGTAAACTATTAGTGTTGTCCTCTTACTGAGAACTGAAATTTGAGATTTGAATGCAATCAGAGGTGCTTTAGAAGAGTCCTGGTGATGTCCTTCTGAAAAATCTGCCACCAGAAACCCTGTGGAGCATACTTTACTCTGTTAGTGGAGTTGCTCCAAGTCAGGATCAACTTGATGCAAATAGTTGTTAGTCACAGAGTGGTTTCCAGGTTAGCACATGTCAATCCTCAGGACAAAGCTATTGAGCTTAGAGGGAAGGAGAGAGAGGTCTGAGGTCAAGGATGGCAGTGTGAAAGAGAAAGAAAGTAATCAGTGTGTCAGAACTCATTCATAAATTCTATTTTGGCATATAGGGACTTTTCATTCTGCATTGGGTAAATGTTTGGCTTTGATGGATATACTTATTAGGTGTTCTAACGACCTGATTTCCTTCAGATGCCTTTGATAATGAGCTCATCTTCAAAACACTCAAAGAAATCACAGAAGGGAAAACAGTTCAGATACCTGTCTACGATTTTGTCACCCATTCCCGGTAAGTGAGTTGATTGGGATCCAGGGTAGCTAGCTGTCCTTAGCTCCCCTGAGCGTTCCCAGTGCACTGAGTCTGCCACTGCACTGAGTCAGCATCTCTGCCCACTGCCCCTACAGCCTGTCTTTGGAGGTCAGGAGCCGCAGCATGCGATGTTGGTGTGGACGGGTTGAGGAGTTCATCCAGGCACTTCTGGAACAGTGCAATCATGTTTTGTTAACTGAAGGACAGGTTCATAACTTGGACTTGGGTGAGGGACGGAACATTTGTTCTGATCCATAGCCCTGAGTTGTTCCTGGAAGAAGATGTTGAAATTGCGGGCAGGAAGAAGAGAAAAGAAGACTGTTCTTTCTGCTCTTGGTTTAACTTGGAAATGGGATGGAGTGGAGAGGTCTGAAGGCTCTGAGGTCCCCTAGAAACTAATCTCAGAATCAGTCAAATCTTCTAGAAGGCTGCTCCAGGCCTTTCTAGCATGTTTCTGTCATTCATATCAACCTGTCTTCTCCAGTGGAGCTTCCAGTCTAATGATGGTAATCAGGAGTAGTGGAGTGTTTGACTTCCCTCTTCCTTTCCTCTAAGTGACAGGAACACCCATCCTTGGTTGGCCAGGCCCTCCAGCCTTAGCTCATTGAACCTCAAAGGGGAGCTCTTGGGCTCCATGTATTTTCTGGGTTGGTGATTGCTCAGTAGACTTTTGGCTGTAGATTATTTCTCTTAACAGTTTACCATTCTTCCTTTTTGGTCCCTTTATCTCACTCTTAGGGGTTTAGTTTTTTGCTTGGAAAACTAGAACTCATACATACTTCCTCAATGTATTAGCAGATGTTTCTGTCGGTTCCATTAGTCTGTATTGCCTTTAATGCAATACACTGCACATATCTTTTTGTCACGAGCCAGATCTGGCTGGAGGAATTAGATGAGAAAACATTCTTCATACAGAGTGGGGCCGTTTACTTACTTAGCTTCATCTGTCAGCTGTATCTTTCCAGCACTTCCTTTAATGGGTCAGACTCCACTGTGCTGGGGAGTCAGAGAACAAGACCATATATATCACTCCTTCTGTGTTAGCCTGTTCCTGAACACGTATCTACAGGTACTGCTGGACTAACGGGATTTGGTATAGAAAATGAGAGGACTGGGAGAGAGAATCTGGGAGGTTGCAGCCAATAACCAGACAAAGTAGCCCCCACTGCCTTCCAGGTTCAGGCACTTGGTGGAACTTATACCGAACAAGTGCTTACATAGGCACTGGAGCACGAGGAGCTAGAGTATATGGAAGAGTCCAAAAAGCTACCACCTCTGGGCCCACAGCCTGACTTGGAGTGATTTACAGTTTCCCTGCTGAAAGGCACTTAGCTGTTTTGCCTCATGAGTTGGGAAGCCCACCACCTTCTCCTCCCAGTCTCCTGGTTGTGGTGCCAGATCTGTTTCATGCTTCCAGTTCTCACTGTCTTGTACCAATTCTGGTGTTATAGCTCTCTGTTTTTGGGTCTAGGAGGTTCTCAGTACAGGAACCCCAGTCTAAAACATGTGCTCTACTCCAGATGTTCTTTTTTTAGTGCTAGCAATACCTTTTCTGCTTCTGGGATGACTTAAGCTTATTGGAATGCCAAAACCTATTCAGTCTTTGTTATTCCTGATATCTTATTTGCATGGTCCCACCCCCATAAAGGGTGCCTTACACTTTATTTGCATTATTAGCAAGCTGCCCAATCCCCTTGGTGGTTCATAAGCACCTTATTTGCATAGTCCTGCCCAACCATTTGGAGTCCTAGTGTGGTTATGTAGGATAAGGACCACTAACCATAAGATTAGAGATTCAAATCTACCAGATGCTTTTTGGAAACCTTATATAAGGTCACTTTGAATTGGAACCAACTCAACTATATTTAATAACAATGCAGTCATCTGGTGGGGATTACAAGAAAGTGGTAAGAAAGGCCATCAAAAGGTGATCTACCCACCACACAGTTGTAGTGGGTCGGATGGCATTTCATCAATAGGCATGAACAAGCTTGGTGGGGAATTGTAGTCACTTAGCTGTAGAGGGATGGGGGTTGGAGTGTCGGGACAGTGGCAGGAGATGAAGGAGGCTGGGGAAGGTAGGCAGGCCTTATATCATGAAGATCTGTGGCAGTCAGGGCCAAGGTGTAAACCTTTGTGTGGTAGGTAGTCACAAGGGGAATACCATGTAGGAGTGGAGAGATTTTGGTAGAAGGATGAGAGAGGATTCAGGGATGTCACATACACTTTGGGGTTTATGCAGGTGAGAGATGGATAGGGACTTGATTGAAGTAGGGCAAGAAGTGAGGACAGTCAGCAGTTGAGGAAGGATGCTGTGAAGATGAGTACCTTATGCAGCATGAACTCCATTGAGTTCCGTGTTAACTAAAGAAAACCCCAGCAGAATTCCCACTTCAGTTAGGGTTTTTCTCTTATATTTTAAATCCTTATTCTTTAGTGGTCCATTTAACTTTTGTTGATCACCCTGGATCATAGCACCTAGAACCTTTTGCCTTCATCCCCAACATAGACACTCTCTCAAGATCTTCCTGTTCTGAGTCTCTTTCTTGATGCCATCTGTTCAGGGTAAACCGATCTCATCCCACCCGTGGGCCTTAGACTGAGCCTGAGAAGACTATTCACTGCAAAAACCCATCTATGTGAGAGGGTTGGACTAGATTATCTCAAATACCTTGACCAGCTCATCTGCGTTTCTTGTCTAGACATCCCAGCCAGGCTTCAACTGATTCGTTCTGTGTTTAACATGCTGAGTACTTGAATTTCCACCCCAGAATCCTCCTGAACCAGAATCTATACTTTAATATAGTAAGATCCCCAGGTGAGTCTTAGACAAGTGAACTCCTAAGCTCTAAGTATGGCTCCTTGCACAGTCTTGACTAGTAGCTGTTCAGTCACTGTTGTTTTTAGATCTGAGTTGTTTTGAAAGTTTCCGCCACCTACTCCTCCATGTAGTCTTGGGAAATCATGAATTCCAACTTCTTGTGTCACCACCAACAAAAGCAGGTAGTTATGGTCTCCTGACTTTTCCAGCAGGCACTTGTGTTGTGTTGGAAAACCACCTGTTTCTTTAGAATACTTATCAGTTAAGCATGCTGGTAAGCATTTGATGCACTGCCATTGCACAAGAACCTAGCCCAGCCACTGTTGTTTGTGTGCGTTTTTGAAACAGAACCCTAGGGATCCCACTGCACATTCTGTTTCCCTTCAGAGCCCTTCCACCTCTCTTGAGCCCACAGAGAGTTGCCTACGGTGACTCATTTCATTTAGCCATTGACCCTTGTTTCCCTCTCCATATGCCTTCTGAATGCTCCTCAGTGTAGTTCCATGTCCTAAGCCCCAATGGGCAGGCGCACCCTGTTTTCTGGCACTGATATTCTTCTAGACCAGTGATTCTTAACCCTGGCTTCACATTAGCAATACCTGGGGAACTTCAGAAAAAAAAAATTACTGGTGCCCTAGCTCTACCACTAGAATAATTAAATCAGAACCTCTGGGGTGTGGAGCCAAGGTATAAGTATATTTTAAAAAGCTCCCAGGCGATTGCCATGTGCATCTGGAGAGCCTAGACCATTCTGGATGGGTACAGAGAGCCTCCTAATTTTAACCTGACCTTTTTCGCTTGTCTTCCACACACCATCTTCTGTTACCTTGGTGTACCTCAATGCCTGCCTTAGTAATTTAAACACCAACCCAGAGTCCAAGGTAATAGTAAGTCAGAAAGTCTGTATGTAGGGAGATCTGTTTTGGAAGAAGTGCAGCCAGAGTGCTCCTTAGAGGCCAAGATGGCCAAACTTCATCTCTCACACTTGGGACATATTGTCAGGAGGGACCAGTCGCTGGAGAAAGGATATCATGTTTGGTAAGGTGGAGGGTCAGAGAAAAAGAGGAAGACCCCCAATGAGATGGATTAGCCAAGTGGCAGCATCGATGGATTCAACCATGGCAACAATAGTGAGGTTGTTCCAGGATTGGGCAGTGTTTCATTCTGCTGTGCATAAGTTTGCTATGAGTTGGTACTGACTCGATGGCACCTAACAACAAGTTTTTGGAACAGGAATACCTATACAGTCACAGTTGAGACAGGGCAGAACTGGACCTGAACAAGCACCACTGGCCAGAGGCCAATTATGTAGTATCCATTTTAGAAACATCTCACCCCCTTGGCCTTAAATAATTTTATAAGGTAGGTATCACATAACAAGTTTGCCTTTTTAGTCTAAGTGTGCAATTCAGCAACATGAATTTACTTTGACCATGTTGTGCTTACCAGCATCATTGTCCATTTCCAATCATTTTGTCTCTACCTTGGTTTATTCTAGACATTTTATATAAGTGGCATTTTGCAGTATATCTCTTTTGTCTAACATTTCACTTAGTATAATGTTTTCTATTGTTCATCCATATTGTAGCATGTATCACGACTTCATTTCTCTTTATGATTGAGCAGTATTCCACTTTATCTATGAGAGGGCTTCAAAAAGTTCCTAGAAAATGAAATGAAAAGACAATGAGGCTTTCCCATGAGCTCTTTGAAGTCCCCTCAAATTTACCATATTTTGTGTGTCCATTCATTGGTTGATGGGCACTTGGGTTGTCTCTAGCTTTTGGCTATAGTGAAAAATGCTACGGTGAACCTGGAGAGCAGACATCTGTTTGAGCTCCTGCTTTCTAGTCTCTTAGAGGGTAGACAGATACTCAGGAGTGGAATTGCTGGGTCTCCACCCCCTTCCTGGCTTTTGAAAAGTCATGTGTACATTAGTATCTCCCTTGGACTTCCCAAGCCTGTGGACGACGGGGTAGGTAGGTGGCTCTCCCTGTTTTATTGATAAGAAAGATCAGCTCTAGGGAGCGTAGTAGAGACTGACGGACACATGGTTACATGCTGGCTGTGATAGAACCAGACCAGACACAACTCGGAGGCCTTATTTCCGTTAAAATGCTTTCTCTATTCTACCCTCTTTTCTGAATTAAGCGTTCCTCCTTAACTCTCGTTGCTCTCCATCTACTCTTTTTTCCCTTCTTCCTTCCCAGGGCTGAATGATAAGGTGATCTTAGTAGTGAAAACTAAGGTTTTAAAGCTCAGAATCACAAGTGTTATGTGAGGGTCTGTAGATGCCAGGCATGAGAGCATTCCTGGAGACAAAAAGAATTTGCACCTGCTTCTGTCTGTCCTGATTCTGTGTACAAAAGCAGACTTTTTATTCCAAGGAGAAGGATGTGTGCCCCTGGTTTTGCTTTTTGACAGAAGTTTAGAAGCATCTGGCTAAAGGAGACCCGTGTCACTAATGTGGGTCTCATTTTGGTGGCATTCACTGTGCCGTTTTTGAGCTTCCATGGTGGTCAAGGGCCTCTGTACGGCACTGTTAGTGAAGCCCTCTCAGCCCTGCTTTAAGCCTGAGGGGATGGTATGCATAGGGGGCTGGCTGGACACAGAAGGAGTGGGAGCAGGGAATGGCACCGCGGTCAGAGGCTCTGGTCCTCACCTCCCTGGCTTGCCCCATCTGCTGCTCTGTGCTTTGCAGGAAGGAGGAAACAGTGACTGTCTACCCTGCGGATGTTGTGCTCTTCGAGGGGATCCTGGCCTTCTACTCCCAGGAAGTACGAGACCTGTTTCAAATGAAGCTCTTTGTGGATACTGACGCGGACACCCGGCTCTCTCGCAGAGGTGCGTTCTAAATGGCTCAGGTAGCTCTGTTGCTGGGGCCAGGGAGCCAAGAGCACACCATTCCCCACCCTCTTGAAGCCCATACCTTCCCAGAGGTAGCTGCATGGCTGCCCAGCATGGCCTGGCTGCGTCAGTGCTGCCCCCAGAGGTCCTGCTGTACAAATGCTTGGTGACACGAGAAAGGATTAGTCATACTACTCTTTTGGATAACGAAAGGCATGTGAGGTCACAGATGAAATAAGAAGTTGACGTTCTGATATCGCTGGGAAAAAGTTTGAGTAACTTGTTTAGTTCCTTTTGAATTTTCCACATGGGCATGAGAGCCAAGATGGGAAATCAACTGTGGGCCAGAAAAGCCCGTGCCTAGGATGCTGGGCTGCTATGCTACTCTCCCTGCATGTTTCTTTGGGCCATTGTTTTCCAGAAAGCTTTATGGAGGTTTTGTCATTCTTTCCAGCCAGCTCTGGAGCCAAATTGGCCGTTCCCTCTGCAAGCCTTCTTAAATGTGTGTCTATGCAAGGTCCTGTGCCAGCGTAGTGACAGTGCAGAGATGCTCAGTGGTTGGGAGCTAAGCCTGGGGTGTTTCCAGAGATCACTCAGCAGAGTTTACATCCGCCAGCAGAGATGAGGAGGCTTCATGGAGGAAGTGGGGTGGATTCTAGATGTGGTGGTGTAGGGTGATACTTAACTCAGTAGGTGAACAGTGCAAATTTAGACAGACAGTGGTTTGTTTAACGAGCAGTACATAGCTGGAGCTTTGTAGAGGGTTGTTCAGAGAGACACTAGGAAGTAACTTGTGGTCAGGTTGGAGAATGAAGACTTCTGAATTGGGTGCTGGTAGATGTGTGAGCTTTCAAGGACTTTGGAGTGCAGGAAATGACCACAGTTCTCCATTTGGAGAATATACTGACAGGAAATATAGATGAAGACTGCAGCCGGGTAGGAGTCTGGAGACTGTTCTGGGCTAGATAGTGTAGAGCAATCAGTTGCCCTTAGGTGGTAGGAAGGGGGATGGAGAGAGGTAAGGAGGAATGAGAAAAGGTACTGACAGGGTCCAGCAAGAGCATTTGGTGCGTTGGGAGTGTTAGCTGAAGAGAGGAATAAAAGGGGGACAAGGGAGCAATTCACAGAAAACAACAGTTCTTGATTCTAGTCATAGAGCAGATGATTGGTAGATTCTAATTTTGTAAGCTGTAGCCCAAAGCCAAGGAGATTCTTCTTAGTTCATGCAGTTTTTCCATTTTATTCCTGTGATTACAAGAACTATGAATGAGCAGTTCTTGGATTTTGCTCTCCTAAGTAGTATGGGTCCTGGTGTGGTACTGTAGGATGAACACTGAACTGCTAACTATAAGATCGGCAGTTCAAACTCACCAACTGCTCCTAGGAAACTCTATGCAGGGTGGATATGAGTCAGACCGACTCAATAGCATGTAAGTAGTATGTGATTCATTGTCTATATTAAGACTTGATTCCAGGCAGGGTTTGAGAGCAGGTAGTGTGTGTGATGGGAAAGATTCAGCAACAAACTCACTGCCATGAGTCAATTCTGACTCACAGTGTGGCACTGCACAAAAAGCACTGGATGTCAAGCTCAATTTGAACCACAAAGCCGGCGGTTCAAACTCACCCGCCTCTCCTCAGAAATCATCTACAGCAGAGTCACTAAGAGTCAGAAGGGACTGGACAGCACATAATAACAATCTTTACAGGAGTAGAGCTGCGGGATGGTTTGAAATGTTACTTTTATAGTCAACACCTACCCATGGATCCACTGAGGCTCCTTCTACCTCATTAAATAATGATTATGTTAAAAGATGATACAACTCAAGATTTGTATCTCTGGGATAATTGTGGAAGTCATTTGGATGAAATGCCTCTCAGTGTGGGGGCAAGTAGGCGTGAGTTAATAAATGATAATTGATAATAATATTCTGTAGAGCCTGGATACTGAGAATAAAAAGTGTGCTTCCGTTAAAGTGGTAATCACTCTGGGGTTTTCTAGTTGGTCAGATCTGGTCATGTACTGTGACACCTGGGGTTGATAATAGTCCAGCAGGAGACTGTGCATAAGTGGGGTATACAAGGATGCATGATGTTGCTCAGGAAACCAGAATCAAGTTTTGTGTACTAGTGTGAAGGAGCTTCAAAAAGTTCACAGAAAAATGGAATTTTAAAAGATAATGAAATTTTTCGATAAACTCTGAATGCCCCCTTGCACTTGGAAATAAACAGAACCTTGGGTCCTAATTGAAACAGATAATCATGATATAGAGAGTACATTGGGAATCTTCCCTCTCTATCTTGAACTGGAATTCTTAGGTGACATGGGGGATAGCTGAGGTGTACAGATTTCTTAGAATCAGTTCTGCAACCCGTGCTGCCCCGTTGCTGCTTTGGATGCAGGTTGCTGCTTTCTCATTCCCATCTGTGACTTCACATACCACCCACCACTGTGGCAAGTCCCTTTCCTGGCAGACTGTGGAACTTTTCCAGATGCTATTTCTATAAACCCATTCTCTCTCCACATAGGACAAAAAGCATGCATGGCATGTGCTTTGTGGGGGTGGTGTTGGTATAGGGTGAGGGGAAAAGGCAGGCTAGTCAGGAGCAGCTGTTAACACCATGATTTTGCATTTCTGTGGTTGGCCATACTCTTGTGGACTTAGGACCCTTTCATTCAATTTGAGGCTCTGGTGGGACAGATCTGTCTTTGGGTTGTCTTTGGGTATTTGGACCATGGAGACCCATTCCTGCTGCTCGTTGGGAACCTGTTGTACTTCTAAGGAATTGATTCCAGCTGTGTGTGACTTGATCTTCTCTGTGTGTTACTCACCCTAACCACACTTGAATACAGAGTCAGTAGAGGGACACAGGTCATGGGGAGAACAACTTGCAACTGCTGACAGTCTTAATTTTGTGTGCCAATTTCACATAGAGGAGTCCCAGTGCAGCACTGCAGGATGATGCTTTGCACCGTAAGGTTGGTTTCAACAATAAGGTTGACGGTTCTAGTTTACAAGCTGCTCCTTGGAAACTCTACAGAGTTGCTATGAGTCAGAACCAACTTGACAGCACTTAAGAATAACAACAACAGTTCACATAGGCTTAGGGCTGCAGTGGGCCTGCAGGGATAGTCAGTCTGAACTTCTACTATAGAGCAAGCTTTCTCACCTAATTTTTAAAGTGAATTGACTTGACCACTGAGTAATTATCTTTTTTTTATTTAATGTTTTATGTGAATTATGTGATAGTTTACATGGGAGAACATTAGTTTTACATTCATTCTATCGTATATTGTCTCTCATTGCCATGGTTACAATCCCCTCCATGCAGTCCTTCCCCCGTACCCCCCAGGTCTTCAGCACACAGTTGCTCTCCCTGTCTGGATCTAAAGTCTCCAGCTGCTCCATGGCTCCACGTCATCCTCTCTGGCTCCATTTCAGGCATCACTGCTTCTCTGGGTAGGGTCCCGCTCTCTGCTCTTCTCCCTTGAAGGTCCTAGGGACCTCTGCTCCTAGACTGAAAAGTTAATCACTCCCCTCCTTGCTATAAAACGTCTACCTTTACATTTCCAGCCTTCACAATCAGTCCTGATAACAATTATTCAATATTGTATCACAAGAGACCCATCTGCATTTCAGTGCATCAACCCCGCCTAGACAGATTGAATACTACTCACTGGACATTCTACCTTCCCCCAGGCCCTCTGGATCTAGGTTCCCTCTTGAAAGCTTGTAAGCCAGTCACTTCTTGCCTTTGTAGCCCCCGCCCCCATTTTGGGTTGTTGTTGTTGTTGTTGTTAAGTGCCATCGAGTCGGGTCCGACCCATAGCGACCCTGTACAGGGTTTCCGAGGGTGTAAATCTTTACGGGAGTAGAAAGCCTCATCTTTCTCCCGCGGAGCGGCTGGTAGTTTCGAACCGCTGACCCTAAGGTTCGCAGCCCGATTCGTAACCACTACGCTACCAGAGCTCCTTCCCATTTTGGGTAGCCAATGTCAAAGTTGCCCATCCCTGTCTACTCTGTGTGTGGAGGGTGTGGGAATGATTCTTGCTGTAAGGACTTGTTCCTTCTTTTGAGCTACTGCTTCCATAGGTGTAGGTCAAGTTCATCAAATTGTATGAGAATACTTTTTTTTTTTTCCCTCTTGTTTTTACTTCGGATTGAGCTCTGATCATCCAGTCACTGAAGCCAGGATAAGTGGGTATTATCTGCAAGTGTGGGTGTTCTTATGCGAATGCCCTCTCTTCTTATCAGCTGGATGCTTCACTCTCCACTCTAGTCCTCTGTGGCTATGTCACTGACTCTGGGCCCAAGAGTCCCCAGGTCTTGCCACACTGCTGGTCAACCAGGTCTTCACCTGGGTTCACAGAAGTCTATTGAACGTTGTAGGGTTTAGCTCACTGCTTCGTTGCTGTTTTTCCCTCACTTCCCCTTATCAGTGTGGAGCGTGGTCACCAATCACAGCGTGTATTCCCACTGAGTCTTAGTCTTGGAAGGGGGTTTGCACGAGGGGACCCGACCACTTACCTTGATGTTTCCTGCTGAGCAATTATATTTATTCTGAAGTCTCTTCTACATTTTCTTGGCTTTGGCTAAACAGAAAGAGCACAGCTAGATATGGAAAGGCTGAATTAGAAGGCCAAGCAGAGGACTTGATAGACCTTTACCTCAGTTTTCTGGAAAGACCTGTGTAGGGTCAGATTGATGACTTCAAGTTCCTGGAGTTTGTGTCCAGACTTTGCTCTGACTATCACTGACTTGTTTTGGTCACTTGCCTGGGCCTGAGGAACAGCTGATTCCTTGTAATGGGCTGGCTGGAGTTGTGTTTGTCTTTGCTCAAGGAGAAAGTTCAGTCTGTTTGAGGTGCTAATTCTGTTGAAGGCTCTTGGGGGCCAGAGACAGGCAGAACCTGTTTTCAGAAATCTTAATTTTACATTTGTCTTTTCTCTACCTTTAAAGAAAGTTGTTGTTGAGAACTTGTCCTACAAAGCAAAC